GTTGAAGTGGCATTGTAGCAATCTGCAAATTCATCTTCAACAAACAAGACTTGTTTTGTAATTGCTTTTCTAAATGCTGTCAATATTCTTGACTCAACCCCCTGGCTGCTTCCCAGGAAATGGTTGTCCGTATCCAGGACGTATTCCCTGCCTTTTTTCTCACTCTCAATTCTCTCACGCTCTCAATCAGCTACTGTAACGTCGACGTCTCATATTGGGAATTAAGGCGCCTGTGGGAAAGCGGTAGCAGAAAGGAGTTCCGCGCATGCGACGGTGTACGCCGCCTGGCTACAACGCTGGCCCTTAAAGGGTTAAAGGGTTGATAACCATGCAGTAATCTTCTCACATGGATTGCAGAAAGTAGGGCATTTCATATCAGGTTGGTGCCAATCTCGCAATGTAAAGAAATAAGACCTGAAGGGTCTAATTATAGTCTCGTCTTTACATCAGTAATTGGTTCCAATCAGATTCTTTGCATCCCTAGCGTTGGGTTTGTTGCTTTGAAGACAAGCGAGAATAATATGCTAAAATTTTCTTATATAACTAAGAGAATTGAGTGGTGAACAAAAACAAAAAAAACACGGCCTCAGGCGGGAATCGAACCCACGTTTCATCCTATCCGGGGACGCGTGCTCTACCTACACCACTGAGGCACATTTATATATATAGGCACATTTATATATTTAGCATTTATAGTTATATAAGAACATAATAACACTGCGGAAAAAGCAGTGAAAATACTGTAATTTCGAAGTATGCTAAAATTTTCCATGATAAAGATCATGTCTCTATAGAGGAATTCATAGCAAATCCGATGGAAAAACGTAAGCAGAATGTCTTTCAACTTTGACATTATCAAAAGTTATATATGCTTTCATTGCCATGAAGCTGATAAAATACAAACCTATTTCGCTCATGTATCGACGCGTTTCACTTTCTTCAGAGATGATGAGCCGATTGCCTAAAGCCGCGTCTTTGTCTGATTATCGAACGAAACAAATTCTCTTAGAGGACACCACTGAAATGACGAACGTTTCGCGGTGATGCCCGCATTTAGAGAGGGTGCTAGTTGATTGTACTGCATTGACACCAAAGACGACGTGAGCAATCGACTCTGTAGAAGACGAAATGGGCCGAAACGCTGACCGACTATATTGAAATATTTGTTTATTTATTTATTTACTTTTAACAATTTTTTGCTATTGACTCACTCAACGAAGAATATATGATTGAACGGTAGCAGAATATGACAAAAGTGACAAATTATAACGATTCGTTGAAAATCGTAGTCAATCAAACGGTGGTCGGTTCAACGGTAGCACACTCATTTTCATGCTAAAATGATCCATAGTGTTCAACAGATCAAACAGAATATCTCACAAAGTTTCATATGATTGTGAGATCAAATATTCAGAGTCAAATTGCACGGATACGAAGTTGAGCGGTATAATGACACTATTGCTCGATACACAATGTTAAGCCATTCACGTGATAAAGCTAACCCGATAAACCCGTGAGTTTCTCATTCTTTCACTTTGTAACTGGATGAACAAATCATAACTCAAAGTCATCTATACGGCCAAGATTACTCGTTAAAAGCAAGAGTGATTGAACGTATACTACTTACTTGACGATCAGTAGTGAAAAATGACTAAAAAATCATGAGAAGGCCAAAATCATGCTCATAACCCACAGTGTACCGACTGGAATACGCCTTCACCTGGGCGCCTTTGTTTTCCTCCAATGCAATAGGCACCTTAATTAGCGACATGCAGAGGTTATACAGCGTATTGCGTGAGAAATCAACGTGTTTCCAAAAGATTAGAACTTTTTACGTGAGAATTAGAGCACAAGTTTCGCAGAACTTACTGCATCCTTACTGCAATTTTCCAAATAGGTTTCTCCTGGAAAGGCGTACAGCGTAAGAAATAGGTTTTTCAATGTGAAATATACAACATCGTCGGAAGAAGTGCAAAAAGTGGGATATGCGTTGTTTTGCCATGGATCAGCGTCTACCTTGAATACTGATCGATATCATAAAATAGCAACACGAAATCTGCTGTATATCATCGTGGGAGGAGATCGCACCACCAACTTCCTTCCCGACGGCTGCATCACTAACCACTTCGCAATACAGACTTTTAGCCGCGCATCACGACGACGCTGGAAACATGATGCAGTACGTGCGTAACAGGTTAAACCACTGTGTATATCTACCCCTGCAATTTTTTATATCTTTTCTCCAACTCCATATTGCTATAAAAAATTCTAGATCTTCAAAAATCATATTTTGGACTTATATTCACAAACAGGATAAAATGTTGCAGTCATTTGGTCTTCTGAATTGAGCACTAGCAATAAATCAATTGTCTCACTCAAAATTCAAATTTTAGCTGTAGATACAAGCTGTTGGAACGGACGAAAGATGACTGGAATATTGATGGCCTGAACTCACTCGCATACAAAGTGGTGAACATCACAATCAAACCACTTTTTACGCATATTCTCGTTGATTTGTTTGAAAACGTCGAGAAGGAGCACATAAAGAAGTTTTGCGAATAAAAAATTTTGTAGTGTTAGCAAAGAAATTTTTTCTCAAGGTATGCCATTTCAATCAGCTGTGACACCAAGATGTTTTGCCTTGTTGCTTTTTTTTTTTTGTTGCAAATTTCGTCTCTTTGCTAAAAATCATCAGATAATGTGTCTTGCATTAGAAATGCCCATATTTCCGCTTGACTTTTGCTCAGGAACTTGTTAATGTTTTTTGAAAGTTCGATTAGAATGAAGCATGAAAGGTACCACGCTCTTACACTATCGTAGACGAATCCTGAACATTAATATTTAATTTTGCCTTCAGTTCGATAAAATTCACTTTCACGCCTTTATTGAAACACTTTTTGAAGTTCTTGGATCAAAGTTCACTTCATTCAAAAAACGGTGGCGGAGAACACTAATAACCATCATATACGGAATAACTATCTGCGTCATCTCTATGGTCGTGTTATATTAGATTGGAAAGAAAATTTCCACCGTTTGGATAGAAATGTCGTTTTTTCGCTGAATCGTGTGTGATTTTCATATAGTTTGGAAGATTTACTTCTTACGCATCTATTGATATATATTTTGGCTAGATGTGCTTCAGAATGGAATTGTACAGGAAACAAAGACGTTTATTGAAGCTTGTCGAGTGAGCGCTTTGTTTCAACAAGACAACGCAAACCACACACACCCAAAAAGACCAAGGCAAATTTTGAGGGATTGGACGGAGTTGAGATTCTAGCGCATCTCGCTATAGTCCAGATGTTGCTCCATCTGAATTCGGCCTTTTCCGAAACTTTTCAAAAGGCCGCCAATTTGAATCTTTCGATGAAGTTAAAGAAGCGTGTCAAGAATTCTTAGATTCAAAGCAATAGAGTGTACGTCGATCAAATTCGAAAGCTGGTGGACCGACAGCAAAGTAATGGATAATGATGACCTGTATTCTGAAGATTGGTTGTTGTTGTTGTTGTTTGTTGTCTGAATATACGCTTGAATTTTTAGTGTTTTATCAAACGATGGGAAGTGTCCTTCCGACCTAGTATTACCCGACGCGGAAAGGTAGCCATATATTCCTTTGCCTCGAGAAAAGTTTGAAATCCTGCTTTTACTGAGTAGGATTGACATGAACCTTCTGTATGTAAGTAGACATATTCGCGTATGTCTGCACAAATGAGCTCCTGGAGTGTAAGGTTCTGTCTAACTGATATCATTCTACCGTAAAGCTCTAGTCAGGACCAGGCCGATGTCTTCTTCGGGCGACAGTACATCTTTAGCGGGAGAGATCACAAAGCCACCTTGCGTTGCATTTTATCTAGATCAATAGCAACGTATTACGAACACGCTTTATTGTCAAAACAGAAAAGTAGTGACATTGGATTATCCAAAAATTTTACGTAGAGGCCATAAAGGCTTGATGTCCAAAAGTTCCCAAGAGACGTCTCTTTCGTGGAACACCGGTACTGATACACCAACGTGTATTCACACGAGCCAAAAGAATCCAGCAACTGACATTCGCATTTACAAACTGATGCAGATAAGGGGTAGAGGAAGATCACAAAGAGCGAAACAATAGATAAAACCAAAGCACTAAAAGCTGGGAAGAGCATTCTCAAAGCCCACCTAAGCTTCGCCGGTAAATCAGCTGTAATTGCGCTTCAAATTACCAGGCAGAGCACCTACAACTTCCACAAAAGTTATTGGAAAAGTCATCCATGATTACTATACAGATCTTTCAAGCAACCATGTTTTTCTGTGTACATTTGTCAGACAAGAGGTCTCTTGTATCTAGATTATAAGAGACGTTCTATCGAACTTCTATACAGTCGAGGAAAGCCGATACTCTTCCGTTATCTGCACCCTGTTTCGATTTCTGGTAAAAGTCGTTTTCTACCTATTTCAGAGTTTTGGTAGTCATTCGACAGCTTGAATCGGGAGAATTTTGATAGTCTACTTTAGTTTCAACATAACCTTATCGTTGTGTTATGGGAGTGTAAATAAAGTTACGTTCCAGACTTGCGAAAATTTCGCTCAACAGAGCTTTTCCGTAGACTTGTGATATTCATTCAATAGCACAAATCTATCTCGAAGATTTCAATCGTATACAACACGGTTATTGAAATAGACTTTATAGTACACCGTAGCAGCCAAAAGAAATAGAGTTTTGCACTTGAAATGTCTAATATAGCTATCAGCAAAGGTTTGGTCGGGTAAGCACTATTGCTTTATCCAAACCAGTTCAGCTAGCAGCCATGATGGCATGTAATACTCATAATTTCTATGGTTCTGCTGCCTTTTTCGATGTATTATGATGTTTCAAATAGTCTAAGAGAAGTGAGTGGCGAGCAATTTTAAACCTTAAACGGGAGTTTATAAAGCGATATTGCATATCGGCCAGACCTGTCAAAGATTGGTGGCTAATAGCTGTCAGAAAGATAATGAAGAATGACTGGTGAGGTAAACATACCTCTGTGGTGTAGTGGTAGCACGCTCCCCTTGTATGAGTGGATTGCGGGTTCAACTCCCGCGTGAGGTTGAACTTTTGTTCGCCACTCAGCCCTCTTAGAAATACTTGGAACATCATAACACTGCGAAAAAAAAGCAGTGAAAACTTTAGAAATTTTGAGTCTCACAAAACCTCGTGTTGCCACGCCTCCATAAGAATGGTTTTTCTAATAGCAAACATACTCTTAAATTTTGCGAGACATGTGCAAGATACAGGACGACAACTAGTAGTCTATGGAAAGAGCTCCGCTCAGTAAAGTATAAGCGCGATAAGAATGAAAGCTTTGTCGCGTATGAAGCATAAATTCTCAAAAATTGTGCAACGCTATAAGAAAAGCCATTCAAAAAACAGGCATGTAGTCCAGCAGCCACAGTCAAGCTCACGAGTCGTTCGAACAAGCTGAAACCGAGTACCGCAGCTTCAGTGAACTCATTCGAGCCGAACGCTAGAGGCAACAGGATGGCGACTTGTTAAATCTGTAGTCCTCAACATCCTGCAATGAGTAGATCCAAATGTTAAATCACTTTTAACTGAGTTGTGCAACGTGAGCTAAATTATCAAAATAAGCTTAGTTGTAACCAACTCATACGCAATCAAACACAAACTAATAGTGGACTAGCGATGACAAAACAGACCTTGTAATTTTAAGGGTGTTGGTGGATCAAAGGATAGACTAACTGCTACGAGCTAATCTAGGACGCAGCTTTTCTCTCTCAGTCAAAACAGCCAAAACTCTTTAGCCAATTGATTGGTAAGGGCAAAAAGCGGTTACTGATCGACTTCGAAACTCTCTGTTCTTCCTCGAAGAGTGGCTAGCTACTCGCCATAGGCAAGTCCTCACGAATGGAATTAGTAGGCGATATGTTTGGTATAGAAAAGTAGACAAAAGTAAAAAGACAAAGCTTTTGAAGTTGAACGATCCTTGAAAGATGCGCCATGCGTCTTGAATTTTGGTTTCGTCAAAGATGACTGGATGATTATCTCATCTTTACAATGACTCGCGGTGGCTCGCTAATGTCGCCAATGCTGCTATTCTCTTAGACAAGCCTTGCATCACACCGACCAGGAATGATAGAAAGCCTTGTGATGGGACTTCAGCACTGAATCGAAACGTTGACCGTCGATTGCTCGACTACATGTGTGTCGCAGAGATCTTCTATCACACGATCAAAAAGGTAGATACAGTAAAAAAAAAAATTGTTAACCTAGAAAAAACCCTTCTCTCTTCTTTCCTCCTGCGACACAACTTGACTGAAAATAAATAATTGGCACGTTCGATAAATCTTGGACCTCCGTCTTTCACAGTTGCTGAGCGCAAAATTCTGATTTCATAAGCAGTTTCTATTTCATTGCTCCTGATCTGGAAAATTAATCTTTTTACTTATTGGATAGTTTGCTTTGTTCTCTTTGAGTATTTGATAAACGGTGCGAGAGCTATGAGAAACTCTCCTCACCCAAAGCTGCAGAATCTTCATGCGTTATCTCACATATGTACACCGCTTAAGATACGTCGCCAAATTAGCAGCCTACTTAATTACGACGGCGCACCCTTTAGCTGACTACGACAAATCATTTCTGCCGCAGCTCACAAATAAACGTGTAACCAAGAGAGCTGTCGCTGTTTCACTTGTCATAGCTTGTTCACTATAACTACTTATTCTGGACTACGATAAGGTGCTAGAACTTACTTCGAGTAGATTATCACACATAAGTAAAAGTTATTTGAAATCTAGATTTATTGCATTGCAAGGCGTTAAAAACCGCAGATTCAACAAGTGACTATCTTGCCACTCTAGCGTCAGTTCACTTGAGTTCGCTGCATCTCCACTACTCTACTTCACTGTTACACGGCAAGTGATATTTCGCCAAACATCTTCTCATCAAGTCCAAGTTCTGCATCAATATTGAATATTACAAGGAAACCCAGATTTTTATCCAAAACGATGAAAGAAGCCTATCAATTATCAGAAATCGCACATCAGGGCTGGACCCAAGCCAATGGGCCTTCTGCAATTTATCGGTTATTTGCAAAACTCACTCTTCCTTCGCCTACTACATCACAATGGGAAGTCTTTTTCGAAAACAGAGAAATCATTGAATTATCGAGATTCAAGCTATCGAATGATTTTTTAAACCTTCAAGTGAAAGCTCTATCCAGCGTGAAAAGCTTGAATTTGAACGTAATTTCACTATGCTATAAGAGCGCAATACGAAAACCATTTCAAAAAGAAGCAACACATCAAAAAGTCCTAAATTCTCGTAATGTAAGCTAACGAATGGTCACGAAAATTCGAAAAAAAACTAATAAATTCGTTTTCTTCCAAGGGGCGGAGCAGGGTGAGGACAAAAAAATATCCAAAAAGCCTTTGACTCAGCTAAGGTCGAAGCAGTGTGATACAAGCTCTAGATAGGTATGGTCCCCCTACTCAGTACATGAAATTTGTCTCTTAGCTATCTCTATATACAGGGGGCGCCGTGGCCTAATGGTTGTGATGCTCGTCGCGGCGTCCGTGGAGCCGAGCTCCACATCCAAAAGTCTTCGACAGCCAACAAAAACGCCCTCAGGGAACGCCACAGTCAGGCTTTTCTCGAGATTGCAAGGAGGCATGCTCGGCCAATATTCTAGTCGTTCAAGAAGAAGACGGAAGATGAAGAGCAATTCGAATACCAAAAGTATTAGGATCCGCACGATAAGTGCTGTCGGGTCGCGTAAATAAATGAAATAAAAGGTGTTTATAATTCACCAACAAAGTATCACCATTCCATTACGGCATTACTGTCAGCGCCGGAAGGTGAGTTTGACAAGTGAACACCACCTGATCAGAATCACTCATAGCCACCCTCCAAAACGTCATGCGAATAGTAGAATGGGGACAGCATGGGAGTAAGATTACAAATACCACCTTCGCTTTTCTTTAAATGTCGTTCTTTAACACTGAGCAGTAGGCAGAATAAATCTGACCGATCTCTACAGCGCTTGTGGAAAAATCGATCTCCGACTCAAACCAAAGAAAATTATGTTTTTGAGGAACAAATTGATTTGAATACCCAACTCACTCTTTACGGAATGAATATCTTTGAATGCTCCAGTTACGTCTATCTAGGTTGTGAAGTCAGCATGATTAGTAACCTAGCTCTAGGCTAATCAGGAGGAAGCTAGCGGCTTGGGAAGCGTTCAAGAGTATCAAGGATATAGCGAGGAGAGTCAAGAGGTTATGAATGTGGTTCATACATTAACAGAATGAGAGTTCACCAAGCGCTGGTAAATGCGCATTCGATATTTCAATGCTGTGTCTCGCATCGACAGGCAATTGGGAAACGAGATGAGAGCGCTTCGACTAACTTTAACGACTGCAAATTGACGTCTCTTTACAATTCATTCTCTCAATGATCAGATGGGCCGCATATGTCATGCGTTTCAGAGGCAACATACTGGATTTATCAGGATGTCAAACACATCAGGGAAACCAATGACACTATCCCCAAATTTTCCTGACAAGCAGTCGAAAAGAAAAAAAGCCTTCAAAGAATTCCTGCTGTTAGGCAAGCTCATTGCGCTGTCATTAATGCAACAGAGGGAAATGGAAGTTTATTGGCGCCTGCACAAGTTACTCAGCAATCAGCAGGATGATAGATGAGCAAGGAATTTCTATTTTGCGTATAGGTTCGGTTTGCTCGAGCATTTTTGGCTTTTTTATAAACGAGCTTGAATGTTGGACGATTGAATTTTCTAGAATGCTGGGATTTGTGAGACGTCGCGAGAGAAGCCGCAATTCATACTAAGCAGTTCAAAAAACTTCAGAAGACTAACTGCTCTGAAATTCCTCCACAAGTGTATGACAACTGCGCATTATCACACTCAGCTGTGCTGATGGAACCCTTTTGTTCTAGAACATGTTTGTAACTAGTTAGTAGATGTTCCGATGAAGTTGAAGGTTCTTTTCTGTTACCGGGACAAGGATATTTGGAGAAACTCTTTTATCGGAGAAACAGTTTCTTCTGGTTGTACAAAGATCATTCAAAAGCCTAAGTATCATAGAACTTGAAAATGTAAGTTTAATTCAGAAAGGCCTTCTAGCAGTGCTATAACATCAATAATAAAATTATGTTTTACACGTGTTGCACATTATCGCATGTTATCGAGCGAGTTTTCGCTGGACAAAGCTCCTTTCTTAGACTTTTTTTAGTCGTTGTAGCGCAAATCTCGAAAAAATCAAATATGTGTTCACTTTTCAGAAAGACCCTTTTCCGTTCCGTTGCAGAAAACATTGTTTTTATCTCACACGCGCGATTTTTCGAAGACAGAGCTTTTTTTTTTTAAAAAAAATCATATAATAACGCAAGTATCGGTGACTCCAATATTGTGATCCTTTACTGGAAAAAGAGCATTTATGCACTGTAATGTGGAGAATATGATTGAACTTCAAACATACCTGGCATTGCTTGTCGGCCAAGATGCGTTAGAGGCCGAGAATTGATAACTTATCGATAGACCGAACAGGAGTGATGGTCCTTCTTTTAATTGATTCCAGGAGTTTTTTCTCCGTTGACAAAAATCTAGCTGAAACATAACTTTGATACTAAGAATTTCATCTAAGCTTCAGTATGTTTTCCATGCTTGGGCTTAGGCTGCCCAGGCTCAGGCCTAGACCTAGGCTTTGTAGCTGATTTATTGACAATATAAAACGAAAATGAAACATTTAGGCTTTAAAACGACACAGAAGGCTTCCTCTATAATCCCATTCCAAAAGAGAAATCTCTACGGAACACAAAAAAAGGATCACTTTCCTGTTCGGTAACACAGATGTCCAAGCATATCCCCACGCTGGACAAGAAGTCTCTCAAAGAGTGTTAGTAATCATTCGAAAACTCACATCCCATGCTAGTGCTGTGCTTAAACGATTATTGAAAATAACCTTTCGAGAAGCTGAAAGATTCATAATAAGATTATGTTTCACACGTGCATATTTATCGCTGCACAGAGTTTCTTTTTCCTTAGACTATTAGTAATCGTTCGATAACATAAAATA